GAGAGAGAGAGAGAGAGAGAGAGCGGCAGAGCGGAGATAAAGAAAGAGAAAGAGAAAGAGAGAGAAAGAGAGAGAAGAAGAAGAGAAAGAGAGAGAAAGAGAGAGAGAAGAGAAAGAGAAAGAGAGGAGAAGAGAGAAAGAGAATAGAAAGAGAAGAGAGAGAAAGAGAAAGAGAGAGAGAGAAGAGGAGAGAGAGAGAGAGAAGAGAGAGAGAGAGGAGAGAGAAGAGAGGAGAGGAGAGGAGAGAGAGGAGAGAGAGGAGAGAGAGAGAGAGGAGAGAGGAGAGGAGGAGAGAGAGAGAGAGAGAGAGAACGAGAGAGAGAGAGAGAGAGAGAGAGGAGAGAGATGAGAAAAGAAATGAGTTGAGTGAGTGAGTGAGTGAGTGGAGTGAGTGAGGTGAGTGAGTGATGTGAGTGAGGAGTGAGTGAGTGAGTGAGTGAGTGAGTGAGTGAGTGAGTGAGTGAGTGAGTGAGTGAGTGAATGAATGAATGAGTTTTAGCAGGAAAGAGTGAGGAGAGAGATGACATCATGAAGAAATCACGATTTATGCGAACTGTTGTAGGTGGCGAACAAAATTATGCGCTTTAAGGTATGCATTCAGGTATGTTTTTTCTTCATAACTTCTGCAACCTATTTCCGCCACGGATTGGCCATCGAAGAAAAGAATACGCTGAAGGTCCTGTCCTGAAAACGCCCGGCACCATTTCAACCCACCACACATAAACGAAGACACGGGCCACGAAAGCACGGACAGAGAACTGAAAATTAGAACAAATTACGGCAGCTGGGAGTGACTACATCACAACACGGTCACGTACTTCGCGACAGCAACGTAAAGTCACGCAGGAAACTGGAACACGCCGACGATGCGTGGTCGAAGAATCCGTGAAAACAACTAAAGCAGTCGGTAACTTGACGTTAACGGCATGGTCCCAGCAGCAGCAAAGAAGCACAACAGGCTGGGAACTTTATGGTACGGGCAAAACTGACGCATCGCGTGTTCGGCTATAGGTTAGTAAATGGGTACCTTGATATGGCTTTCCGTTTTTGTTGGGTACTGAAGCATGCTGTGACCGACCTCCCGGTGCTGCTTACAGGGTGATGATGCAAGCTGCCCAGCTATGGCACGAGCAGCCCAGCTATGGCACGAGCGGCCCAGCTATGGCACGAGCGGCCCAGCTATGGCACAGACAGCCAAACTATGACACAAGCAGCACATTTAGTACGTGCTAGCCGAGTTGTGTGACCAATGACATGCTGCATCGACTCCCGCACGCCCATTCTACTCTGACCCGCACAACGGTTACACATGACGCGGCAATTGGCATGTGTTTTCAGTGATTAACGCGCCCCTAGTTGGCTTATATCTCTGTTCTTTCTCTTGATCATGGCTGGGCAGGCTGTGCCAAACGTGCAATCTGCACTGAGTTCACACCAGTGCAGTTCACCAGTTCACAGTCCCCTCACCATCATCTGAAGCCGTTAAAAAAACACTATCATCATCCGAAACGGCCCTCAGACTTATCATATCCGTCACAAGGTGCTCAGGCAAACCATTGGCTACCGACAGGCAAACTACGGCTATTAACAAGGGTTGCTATTTTGTATTTTGTACTGTTTAGTATCTGAAACGAATCTGGTTGAAGAACCTGTAAAAAAAACCACTGATCTGGTGTGCATTGGAAAACATCGATACTGATATGTGACGTCAGCACGGATACAGTACGGTTTATTCTATATTTCTGTTCCCTGCTAGAAACTATGCGGATGGAAACTACTCAATTTATAAGGATTTTGCTGACTTAACTTGCTCACACCACACCTGTTCTACACAAGCTCACACTGCAAACGTGAGTTTGTGCAGGCCTCGTCGGCGAGTGCAGACCAATACTACGCTTTCAATGTCGTCCCACTGGGATGGCTTTTATAATTTGTTTCTGTTTTCTCCATTTCGTCACCAAATAGACCGCAAAAATGCGCGTTGCTTTCACCGATAGTATCCGTTAAATCGGAGGCTCTTTGGCCCCGTGTGCAGACGTGCAGCGTATTGGTACGGATTGCATTGATCGCCGTGCCTAGCCACGGCGTCTCCCCGGCATTGATCGTTGTGACCGTGCCGAGCTGTCGTGTGCAGGGCCCCGAGGGCCCGACGCCCTCCGCTCGGTGACCAGTGACCTTTGACGGTCCCCGAGGCAGAGCGCGGCGGCCACGGCCACCTGGCCGGCGCCCGCTGCCAGTATGCCGGTTACGTACCGCAGTGGGCTCCAGATTTATGGGCAACTATATATATATATATATATATATATATAGGTATAGATATGGATTATATATATATATATATATATATATATATATATATATATATATATATATATATATACGTATTATAACGTCCCCGCCCGGCGATGCTTCTCCGACATCTCCATCGGACACCATCGTCGGGCCAGGCCCGATGGACCTATATTACGTCGATCTATACGCCAACGGCAGCACCGAGTTCGAATTTGTGTGAGCGACCTGGCCCTACAATGGCCCTACAAAAAACCACCTCCCTCCAGCTGGATGGGACCCTGTATAATTTTTTTCCGGAGGATTTCAGACATTGAGGAAAAAGTACAATATACACAAAGCCTTTCAACTATATTGCACTCTTTTGTGGCGGTAATGACGAAAATGTTTGCATACGATGATAATTGGTAAATGGGACAGCAAGCTGTAATATAATTTGACGTTTATGAAAAAAGTGTGTCAAATTCGTTCAGAAACACACTTGAGGCAAGTCTATCGGACCCGTAGCTGTTAATAATAGCTAATATGTATATAACATCGATTCAGCGTGTACCGAATATGTCAGTATTTTACGTATGCAGCTGTAACAAACACAAAACCAATTCATAACAGACTCAGTCGCATGCAAGCAACACTACTTCGCTGAAGAATATGCAGCTGTCCCAACATCTGGAACTGTTTTTTGCGATCTTCACGACCTTTTTTAATACACTCGCAGAATACGATTTCACCCGCAGCTGTGGACCTGTTGGCTTCACTTCACTATAGTGACCTTAGCCATGTGGTTCTGCAGCCATCTCCGATGCCTGTGATCTGCTGGCCCATTTTGAGTCGTAAATCTGCTGACGCTTGAAAAGTGTCCCAGAATTAGGGCCTCTCGAGTCCACTAGCCTGCAAAACATCGCTCTTCAGCTGACGTCACCGGATGATCCATCGTCCCGTTGGAGATTTCGCAGCTCCAACTCGGGATTGTTGCATTTGACAGTGCGCCTGTCACGTCACGTCAACACCACAATCAAACTTCACTCGTCAACTCCCATTTTTTTTTATTTCAAAAGGTTTTAAGGCTTTGTCTGCTCTGTACCCATCACCTTCCATTGCACATGCTTGTCGGGGCTGGCATCAGCGCATTATGTTTTATAAATAATTTATCTGGTAAGCTCACACAAGCCGCTCCGTTTCAAGACCGGTCAGAGATCGCAAAAGGGCTAAGCACGCATACCAACGTGCGTGTGTTACCTTCCATTATTATTCATTAAACACCATAGTTGATTTAGATATCACAGGGAACTAACTACCTCATAAACAAAAATGTTTAACCGTTTGACTCACGGGGTATCATTATCAGGTTAGTAAATTAATGACTTATTCAAATGGCCTTGGGTGTCTTAGACACAGCCACAATGCCCCCATGGTTGGCCACCTGCTTGCAAGTCGTCGTGGTGAGCTGGGCTGTTACCGGATTCACGACGGCTGATAAAATAATGTCCTGAGGGTCGAATGGGTTTTGTTTTATCCAACTCGAAGTTGCTGAGATACGTGACGCCCGCCAGGTTGCTCTTTGACCACACTTTCGACTACGCGTCACTAGATTCACTTCGTCTCATAAAATCACATCCTGTTCGTGGAATAGTGAATCTCAAGAACGTCGGAGGAGAGAAATGGATGAGAAGTTTCGGTAATCAAGCAAAATGTGAACAGGCTAACACGCACCGGCTGACCGATTCAACGCGAAGCCGCCTGGGCGGGGGCGTGCGCCACTTTGACCTCGTCAAATCTCATTACCTAAGAGAGCTTCATATACAAAATTCACCGGATCAATAAGCCTTTGAATGAAGTCACTTGTGTCGAAATTTGAGCTCCATAGGTCGTGATCTTTCGGCAGGTAAAGTTAGACAGGGTCACACTCCAGATTGTTGTCCGGAGATCCTTCAGACCTCCTCATGCAACCAACTTTACCCTGGAAACCTTTACTAAACAAAGGGTCAATAGCGCTCATTTCAGATCAGTGACCCTACTTAGCCTTCGCAAAATAACGGTGACCAAAAGCTTGGGAGATTGTAAGGAATGCGGTAGGCGGATGTTCCGAAAGCAAAATTGATCGGCGTCATTCTAGGTCAGGGACCTTTTCTGACCTTTATGATGTCAAAAACACATCTGTTCACGTCCATGTGGTCACGCAACTCAAACTATGCGTCAAAAAGTATCTCGCAAAGCAATCTCTATTTAAAAAAATTTAACCTCAAACTGATCTCCATACCTGGCCCAAGGTCAATGTTTTTAGAAAAATCGCAAAGTTCAAATGTCTTCTTGTGAAAGAAACTGTCTCAAAGATGTATGGCTTTGTGCAAAACTCTGTTGTCGCATCAGGTTCAACGATTCCCTTGGGATTACTCTCGCTAACAGCCATGGCCTGACTTGGACCTGCCTTAAGTCAGCGACCTTAAAAGTTACATACAATCACTTAATGTAAATAGATCGACCATTCAGTTAGCTACAACTACGCACTTCGCTGCGCCGTTCGGGAGATATTTTGAAACAAACTCTGGGAGTCAAATTGCCCCCCTTACCGTGCGTCTGTTTAAGCGCCTAGCAAACTTGTACCTATTTCCAATCCATGCGCTACTGCTTCTGCATCCATGCGGTCATGAGATGAGCCGCGCCGGCCCCGGCACCGCCACTGGCCGGCGTCGGTGCCGGCTGACGCCTACCTCGTCCACGTGCTGCTGCATGTCGGGCTTGTCGCTGGACGCCGTCGTCGGCTCCCGCACGGTCATCGGGCAGCGACGGCCGACCTCGGGCGGCAACGGACGCGCGCCGCTCGCCGACCGGCACCTGACTGCCGCCGACGGCCGGCCGGCCGAGCAACAGGACGCGCGGCGCGTCGACCCGCGCCATTGATCCCCCAGTCGGCAGGCATGCCAATTCGGCGCACAAAATCACACCCGGCCGCTGGTCAGGCGACAGGCGAGGTCGCACAGGTGAGCATGTGACTCACACGGGAACTGCGCGAGTCTCCCGTCGGGAAAGATGGCCACCCCAGCGGGAGGACCCTTTCACGTCTGAGGTCTAAGCCACTGTTGGCCATGCGTAACCCGGCTTTGCGTATTTCAAACGGCGTGCACGTATCGGGCCGCGTAAAGGATATTCAGTACCCATGGCAGTGAACAGGATGACATCACGCGCAGGCCAACGGCACCAGGCAGCTTTCAGCTCGGGGGCTCTACGCTGTCCATTCACGACCTAGCATGACGCTATGTTCTAAGCAATCTACAAGAATGCAGCCAGGGATGGGGAGTAAAACGGATGGCGCACTCCCCCTCCCCACACCTTGATGAGTTGCGGGACCAAGGGTGCATTCACTGTATACCCAGGCGCCCAGAGGGTCCCTAAATTCACGCTATATGGGTACTTGGCTTGATAAATTGAATGCAAGAATGGTGGCCCAACTTCTTACGAGGTTTTCGGAAACGTCTGCGATCCTTGAATCAGCTAAGAAACCATTGCTGGTCCAAAGGGGACCCCCGTGAAAACGGAGTGGGATACATTTGATAAGAACAAATTTGGGTGCTCTGAGCAAAACTATGGGCCCCGATAGGTTGCGCGGGCCGTCTGATGAATTCACCCACCCTATCCCTATCCTCGGCAAACCCTAGGTGGTTTGCTTGCCTGGCTCTAGGCTCTCCGATAAATGTTAGCTTAATCCAGTTCGGTAAATCTACCCTCGCCAATAACCCAGTGCAGCAGATCTATCCCTGGAAAACCTTCTTAAGGCCATCCTGGCTTTCCTCGAAGACCTAGCAAGTTATGGAGAGTGGCGTGCTGTAGGCGAAGAACGGACATATCATAAAGCCAAAAACAATTTCGAATTTTCTTTAAAAAAAAGTCCACACCTAACCGCCTAACCCAAAGTTCTGCACGATGATATTTTTGGTGACTTTAATTTTGGCTTGTTTCTTTTTCTTCATGATCAAATGCGACATATGCATCCCTGCGTAATAACCCGATACGGCAAATGCATCCACAATTTCCGAAACTAATATTTCTGAAGCAATGAAAACTAAAATGCATCCTGCTTTTAGTTTTCATCGCTTCAAAAATATTAGTTTCGGAAATTGTGAATTTTTGTAAAGTCAACTAAGGAAAGGGCTTTCGCATAAATTGGCATAACCACGTTCCAAATTTGGGGGATTTCACACCATATGAAATAATTTCCCAAATTTGGGGCTATGAACCAGTGAAAACCGTCTTTCTATCTATAATGGTTGATTTCTCACAGCATGGCGTATATTAATGTTTTTGAGGTTCTCCCTGATACGCGTTTTCACGTGCTAAACATAGCGCAGTGGAGAAAAAGATGATTAAATTGAGGACTTATTTCTCCAAAGATCTCTATCGGAGTACCCCTCTGCAAGAATGGTAAGCTGACAATGAACAAGCCGATCATTAATCTTATTAAAAGTTCACCAACGCATCGTGTAATGGTCAAAAATATTCAACATTAAGCAGGGTATTTTGGTGCATTCCATGGCGTCATTCAAAGGCGTTTAATAACAAAATTATACGTCATTACCAGAACTATAAAGACATCGTATGGTAGATTATTAAATCGTGCAGATTTCAAAAAGTTACTTCACTCAGCTCTCAAAAGTAACGTCACCTATTTAACAGCATTTGAAGTCATAAGTGCTTTTATAAAAGTAACATTGATATTAAAGACTGATGAAACATTCAGACCAAGCATTCAAAGACCAACCCTTAAGGCTGTTCAAAAACCTTAAGCATCTTCTTTCAAAAGAGCAAATTTGGTTTCATTTGCCTCTTTTTTTGACAACTGGTAAAACCTACCATTTTCACTGTTAAGAATCAAAGAACCACAGAAATTTGTAATTTAAAGTTGTAATTGCTTGTAATTTTGCGTTTAATGAGCTATAGAAAGTTGAAATTCGATCATTCTCAAAAAGTCATCTTTTTTGGTCACCCAACTGGTGACGCCAATATCTCTTTTATTAATGATCCTAAAATTCTGAATTTAATTTCAAGTACGCAGAATTCAACATACAACATCTGGACATGCTATGTGCTATATCTTGAATAAGAAAAAATAGCTTTTAGGATATGATAAAGTGAAAAAATTGCCAAAATATTGTCTGCATATTTTTGTCGCAAACCATGCCTTGTGGTTGCCTGAGTGTTTATACACATAGGTAGCACGTTTTCCACAAATTTTACTTTTATCAAATTTTGAAAGCCCGTGAAGACAAGGACAGATCAACCCATTGGATTATAGGCTGTAGACTGACTCAAATACTTACTGGTGGCTTCCTAATTTTCTGATTTCGTCACATTTCACACGTCAAGTTCTAAGTTTTACTACAAAGGTTGTTTCAGCTTAGTCGTCTTAAAAGTGCTTTGATCATTGAAAAACGGTTTTCCACATCTTAACGGCAAATTCAGCTGTTTGGTTATAACTTAGCCAAAAACTGTCAGGCCTTAAAAAAATAGGACATGACCTAGATTTGCTAGCAATTTATGCATTAAACTAGAATGTTACGGAGCGGCCTTTTCCTGACCTTTGGGGAAGTAATTGTACTCAAGTCACGTTTTTTTATTTTCCAAAAATTACCTTTCGAACGTTCTTATTCAAAAACTTATTTGTGCTACGCAAACGGTTGCTACCGTTATGTTGAAAACCGATGGAACTAGTGCATACGTAAATTTCATGACCCTAGGCCAACCCAGAAGGAATCACGTAGCGTGTGTACGCTGTAGAAGTGAACCTATTGTCCTTTTAATGACCTTATTTTTCTATAGGTACATTAAAGTAAATAAAAAGTTTCAAAAAGCCGCAACATAGTGTAAAAATTAAAACGAAAAAAATACATTGCGCTATTCCTGCAATCACACACACACTATGCTGAGCGAAACGGCAACAGTTTGAAGTCAGGAAGAATCCCACTTTAACGGGTGCCCCGCCTAGGTTGCGTCTGCTGCTGCTGCCCGTGAAGCGGCGACTCAAACGGCCGTGTTCCAAAAGGCGTGGGGCACGCGCGGCGGTCTGGGGTGCACATTATGCGCATTTGTGAAGTGAAGCTCGAGGGCGCGCCGGCCCCTCATGGTGCGTCGCACCCCTGACAACTGGAGCTCAGCCAACTCAGAAGCTTCAGTCACAAACTTCGGCCAGTCGGGCTGGTGGGTGAGCACTCTCTCATCTACAATCTATACATGTTGAGGGTGTGACGCTGACTGTCTCGCCAGGGTTACGTAACTTGACCGGATGTCATTTAGTCCAATAGTCAGCTGGCTGCCAGCCACCTGAAGGTAACCGAAGAGGCGGTGAGACAGCCAATGTTTTCTGAAACCCTTAATACCCCGAGCACAGACGTTAGTCATCTGCTGCACTCTATCTTTTTGCGCTTCATTACGTCCAGCCCATTCAGTCCGGCAGTAACGAGCGTGGGAAGTACAAGGGGTTGCATCTAATTCTCTAGTTTCCTGCCTGCCTGCGGGTGTAGCCTTACGTTATTTTCCGAGCGTACGTCGGTCCGAAAGTCTGCTTGTACGGATTTTTTTGTCAGCCAGACGCAAGCACGGATGACTACTCGGGGTGTGATGAAATGTACACATACGACGGGGCTGCAGCCCTCGGGACAATCCACGCCAAAAATTCGCGACCGTTCAAAACTGAAATCGGTCACAGTGCGTGTAAGAGTGTGGTACGCTTTGGCATTTAGCAGGGAGACACTTTTCGTACATGTAGGAGATACAGGCTGTATAAAGACCAAGCTGTCGAAAAACATGTCGCCAAGATCCAGCAACGATAAGCAAAGCGTCTCTCACACAGGAGATTGTCATATAACGACAATGTCGAAAACTACGAAACACTTATAAGAACGCACTGTGCTATACCAGTGCCAACGGCGCTGGGAAGGAGGAACCAAAGTTAGATGAGGGCTGTTTGATATCCTAAACGCTACAAGGCTCCAAATGTTGACTGAGATCCACTTCATATTGTAGAATACGCCACGGGCGGCGGTACTTCCGGCGCCAACATGACGTCACGGGTGGCGGTGCTACCGGCGCCAATATGACGTCACGAGTGGCGATGCTACTAGTGCAAACGCCTTAGTCTCTCTGCACAGCGGAACAAGCGGGATCCGTTTGATTAATTCACGGATTCCCAAGCGTATGCCTTCGTGGTGAAAAATGTATGCGAATGAAATTGAGGGAATGCGCTACATGGTGCGTGAAGCAAGGACGGCGGAAACGGAGGGGGGAGGGGGCAACCAGTCCTTTGAAAAACAAGCATTACACCTTGTGGCCCAACTGGAAAAATGTAAAAATTGCATTCCTCCAATCTTTTAAGAATTCGGCATGAGCTAAGGCGAATGCATGTGAACATCAGCGGCATTTAAAACTGACAAGTCACGCTAATTTCCCCAAATTATCAACGCTGCACAGAATGCATATGTTTGTATATTTCCACACATCATCCGCCAAATTTTACATGCTCTTGTTTACGGTCCCAGTGAATAATGGCTTGATACTTAACGAAGAACACTTCATGAAGATGTAGTTATGTTCAAAGGTTCACAACCAATGAGCCAATTTGAAAGCATCCATGCAGCATTTTGACCATAAATGCGGCGAATGTATCCTTAATACCCTAGCATCCAAAGCGATGATTATCTCACTAATGGTAATTTTATTACCACCAATATCCTCGCACAAGGGCCGAGCTAAGCTCACCAAGTCACATGAGCACTTGAGTTACGCTGTGCAGTTACGCCACCCAATGGCGCATACATCCA